TTTCAAAAGTAGCGATAGTGCCGTTAAATTTATAAATATGTAGCGACAACAGTAGCGTCGCTGTATTTTTCTTGCTGCAGCGTTAGCAACAGCGGCGCTTCATCGAAGAGGTAGCGCGCACAGCTAAGAAGAACACTACATTCTTGCGTTATGCCATACGAGTATATATATTCTATGAAACAAGCGATAGCGATACTAATTTGAACTATTACGTATTCTTGTAGACCTAACAATGACACAGGCAATGGGTGCTGCTGACCGGTTGCCCTCTTTCCGGATCCTTGCCGTTTAGCCCACGTGCCACATTCTTGTGCATAATAACAAGTAACAAAATCGATACCTGTTTGGTACGCATATAAAACTTTGTAAAATTTATAATAGTAACCATATTAAAACTTTTGAGTATAGAATAAAATATTAGCAGCTTTTATAAAATCAACTTTTATAATCAAGGTCTGCAGTTCTATCAATATTGAATCTCGAATCAGGGAGATCGCACACTAGGACGTTGACAAAACCTAGCCAAAGGGACAGCAGAAAGCCATTCATTAATTAAGTATAAAACTGTCTCTAAAGTTCGACTGATCTTCATTGACGTTTAGAAAACGAGCCGCAAAAATCATCGATCATAAACCACAGTGTCTATCCCAGTCTGTACACTAAAATACTTCACCACTCCCCAAGATGTGCCTTTTTATACTTAGAGCCCCAAGTGATCCATGATAGGTTAGTTACAGCCTAAAATGTATGCAATGATACAGATTATTTAATATTGCCGAATACGCATATCAATCAAAGGATGTCGCGACTTGTGATGCTAATCTTATCAGATTCGACGTGTTTTGTAACATCACGAAACATGAAAGTTGTATGTTTATATTAAGCATTTGCCGTTACGTCAGTTGTTTTTGCTTGCTTGTTATGGATTTCGCGCAAAGCTGCACTAGCCGTTCCTAATTTAGCAGTAAAAGATTAGAGGGAAGGCAGCTAGTCATCACCACCCACCGCCAACTCTTTTACCAACGAATAGTGGGATTGACCGTTACATTATAACGCCCCCACGGCTGAATGGGTGAGCATGTTTGGTGTGGCGGGATTCGAACCCGCGACCCACAGATTGTGAGTCGAGAACCCTAACCACCTGGCCATGACGGGCACGTCAGTTGTGACAGTTAATAAATTACATCGACTTCTTGATAGTTCAACTTAAAAAAAAAATGAATACCAAGCACGAGAAAGTCGTTTTGTTGAATCCGTCAGCACACATTTCTGTTTGTGTCCGAATACAAATTACATCATAGCTTTCATTCTATTGTCCGTGTTTCTACAAACACTCGTCACTTTAGATGTAATGTTAACCTTAGCTGTTAGAAGAACAAAAGACAGTCACTTGAGATGTGATGTTGACCTCAACTTGTTAGAATAAAAGATAGTTACTTAAGATATTATGTTGACCACCGCGTGCAGAAAAATAAAATACAGTCACTTAATAAGATGCGATCTCGACCTCCACGTGTTAGAAGAACAAACACACATCACTTGAGATATTACGTTTCTCTACGTCTGTAAAAACACGTTGCTTGTTTAACTAGTACTGTCAACCTTGTTAGTGCCTTATCATTCTGGGTTTAATAAAATCTTGCAGTTTTGAAGTATACTGCTCGTGCTCACAATCCGAGTACAGATAAAGATGAAATTACCTTTGATGATAAGACAGAAATATTATACTTAAATGGAAAATAAACAAGAAGAAAAGCAAAAACTTCGTAGAAAGGACCAAACTTTATATGCTAACCAAGAAAAAATTAACTATGATATAAAACCAAAGATCTAACTTGGAATGAATTAATAAAATGCAGAAAACTTTTAATTTGATAAAAAAAGAACGTTTACACTATCGCAATATTAAATCCCAGTGTCATTGCTATTAAGACAGACTGTATTTAATTGTATAATATTTCATGTAATTAAACATTAATCATATAGCGTTCCGTATGTAAGAGTTAGTACTAACCACGATCTCTGATCAGTAAGCCATTATGCGTGTAATTTGGAAGTAGATAATGTACTGTATATTAAAACAGTCAATATAAATACCAACGAATAGTGGGATTGACCGTCTCTTTATAACGCCCCCACGGCTGAAAGGGCGAGTATGTTTGGTGTGATATAGCATGACAAAACGTGGACACAGAGTGAAATATGTGACGAGGCTTTAAAATTGTTTTAACACAACATCTCCGTCTGTGAACCATTCATTCATTCACACATACACAAAGTTTCTTAAATGATCGGTCTGCGCTTTAAAGTTATTTTAGTAAAAAAAAAGATTTTCTGGACCACTGTAATGTTACATGTTTAGTAACTACACACACACGTCTTTCAATGCAAGTTTATTTTCCAGTTTATTACCTCTTCAAAATACTTGCATCCATCAAATGAGCATTATTTCCAAAAATCAATCCACTTTTATGAGCTAAAATGACACTCCGACAGTTTAAGAAAAATGCTTTTTATTTCGTAAACACTAAAACATTTCTTTCAATAAAACTTCATAGCAATAATTCTTTGCAGTAAAACCATTAGTAAGATCGCCGAAACCTTTGCTGCTTAGAAGACTGGTTAAGATATAATGTGTAATTTTTTACTTGAACTGTAAGAATATTATCCCTGGTTTCTTATTCGCAAGTCAGATCGTTTTTAAAGTACAACGTATGATTCAAAATGACTAGGTCAGTATCAAATTATGTTTTAATATTCAAAACAATGCTAACTAACAAGCCTCTATTATGGCAATGTGAATGAAATCAAGCCAGAAAACTTACGTAAATACACTGTTCCAACTTTGTTCTTCTAACAAACACTTTCCAAAGCAATTGATGTTATTTTTAGTCACATTTTAGCAACTAATTACCATTTAGGGCTCAGCAATGAAAACGTAATCATAAATGTAGAAAGTTATATATAGGTATCAGTCTGTTTTGAATGTCATATGCTATTTAAGTTAAACATATATCGTCAGAATGATTACCCTTCATATTTATAAGTCCTTTTACTACAATGTTTACATTTTATCAGAAATTAAAACTTCACATTCAACTTTTGGTCTATAACAAAGTTATAATTATATTTTCTTTTACACTTGGAATGAGATTTATACAACATTAGTTTAGAATTAAATGTTAATATACGTTTTTACATGTTAGTTTTGGTTGGGAATGCTGTAAAAAATGATAATTCAGTCGAAAAGTGAAGAAAGCATCACACACACACACACACAAAAAAACAACAGTAAAATACTTAATATATTCTTCTTCTGCAGTGTAAGTCATACAAGAGAAAAGGATCAACAAAGTATTAAATGTTTCACACACACACGCACTGACTAAATATTTTCTTGTATACTTGTAAGGAATCAACCACAACACTACTGAAAGTGTAAAGAGAATAATGATAAGGAAAATACTGACCACGAACTTACAATAGAAACATACATAAAAAGAAACAACCTGTGAACAATTTGGTTACTTTGAAACTGATTATAAACATAAATGTATAGGGTGCCTTTATATATATAGTAAAAGCCCAGGAAAAAAGGCTCAAATAGGTTGAAGATAGGGAGTTATTTGCAAATGAGCACTGGAGCATCCTTTGATCAATGACTTAAAAAAAGCTCCAGTGCCTATGTATATATCATAAGCATAGGTAAAAAAGCTACTTACTTATAAGGACTAATTATTGAACACTGAAACAGCTGGTTGATTTTTTTAAGGGCATAGGGTTTACACATTCTTTTAGAACTGAGTTAAATGCAAAAAATTACTTTTTAGGTGTTTCTAAAGATGTTTTCATTACTTCAATGTCAATGCATACACATTAACTCTACAAAAATGGAGAAGCCTGACTTTATTATTCTGAACAATGTTTTAGGCCCAACGCATAACTGACATTTCAATGTAGATATTCCCAAGTTATTTTGTTTTACACATTCCATACATACATACATAACCATACAGCAAAGGGTTAATCAAAATTTTTAAACATTTGTCTAGATAAAATAGGCTGTATTGATAATCTATATAAATGAAACTCTCTGCTTTTAATACAGCATTATATGGAAGAACATCATACAAAAGTAATATCACAGGTATTCAGATAGTACATCGAGAAAACTTAAGTTCTTTGAAGAGGTAACAACAAAATATCAGTGATTTTTTCAGGAAGCCCTAAATTTAAGCAAAGCTGATGTTTATTGACGGATGAAATTGTTTCATATTTTGCTTCACATCTTTGAGATTAATCAAAATAAACTTCAGGATTAATAATAATAATAATAGAAAAAAGATTACCAAAAATTATTTTTTTTCTAATACAGACATTTTTTAAACAGGTTTTACCAAAAGTTTCAACTGACGACATTTTTTTAAGATTTGAATAAAACAAAACGGCTTGTGGGCTAATAAGATGTCTTTAAACATTACTGAAATGAAATTATGCTGTACTGCAGTTATAAAATACAAGACAAAAATGAGAAGCCTACTGAAACTCCAACTTTAAAATATCATGATTATTCTTATCGTAGTTTCCTTTCTGTTGAAAATAAACTTTATAAAGTTAGAATACCCTGGTTATATAATGCCAAACTTTACTTTTATTGCAGATTCATTACTCCTTTAAACAAATAATTTCTGAAGACAAAGAAAGCTTGCCTTTAGAAAAAGATACTTCAATTAATCAAGTGGAACTAAACAACTGCAGTCAGTATGACTGCAGTCACTCTCATTCATGCTGTAATTGTCAAGTTAATATGTTGACAGCAGTCATGCCAATATCACCTAACTCAGTTGTACCATTACAATTTAAACCATTTATGACATTTGGCATGATTTCCACCACAGTATTTATAATTTTAGGGGGACTGTTAATCTTGCTGATAGAGAGTTCCAAGCTTTTTGAGGTAGCAACTGTTGATTGGTCCTGTGCTGTCTGATGAAAAGTTTTAAATCCAGTGGTTCCATCGGGACCTTTTGGCTGCCTGACAACAATGACACGTGGCCCAATGCCTTCGTCAGATATAATTCGCAGCCGACTTATCAGACGTTCTGGCCTTTGACTTGGAAGGCTGTCACTAGAAATAAGCAAAATATGACAAAACATTTGCAAAATAAAAATAAGTATAAGTTCAGGCACAGTAATAAAACAAAGGATTTATGAGCAGTGTTTCTCAACAGCACACCAAATATAACTTAAAATATTAAGACACAGCAAAAGATATAGCAATACAAACATTTAATATGAATTTTAGATTTTACATGTAGTATTCATTATAATTAATAGGATATTTAGGCCTCCTTCACTGCACATAGATGCTCAATTTGAGGCTTGATAGTGCTTATGGTTACTTGAAGCTCTTGATCGACTGATTTCAAATGTTCCCTTTTGTTGTTCTTTATGACAGTTAATGTTGAAAATGACAACTCACACAGATATGTAGAACAAAAGGGTAATAAAACTTGTATTGCCTGAGAGCCAATAGCAGGGTATTGCCTCTCCACAAGCAACCAGAACTTCCCCAATGTCATTTCAGAAAATTTCATTTTAAATTTACTGTCCATACATATTTCTGCCAATTCTGTCTGTTCTTGTATTCCTAACTTTTTAGCACTTTTACATGATGCAAACGGATTTCTGATCCAGTCAAAATTACTAACTTCTAGTAATGGAAAATAACGTTTCAAGCTATTCTAAAGAATACTAGATGCTGTTCCATAGCTTCTTTCACTGTAGCTGCTGGATCTATCTGTGCAACATTGGAAAACATGTCCAAACGACTATTTCTCAGTCTTCTCCACAAATATAACTTAGCATTAAAGCCATTCAGCTTATTAGAGACAGTAAGGATATTTTCATCTCTGCCTTTTTCAAGATTTAACATATTCAGTAAGACAAATATGTCAGCAAGATATGCTAATTTTGCACACCCCAGCATTCGTCACAGAGAAATTTAAAAAACAAGAGTCCTCTTGTGTGAAAAAAAAACTTCCAACTCTTGACACATTTCATACACACTTGTAAGTACCTTCACTCTGGACAGCCACCAAACTTCTGTGTGTAACAATAGATTTATACTCTGATCCCATTTCTGAATATAGAACAGAAAATAAATGTTTCTTGAGGGGTCATGTCTTAACGAAGTTAACCACCTTAATAATCTGTTTCATTACTTCATTCAGTTCATCTGGTAGTGATTTGGCCATAAGAACTTCATGATGGGTCATGCAGTGTGTCACAGTGGTTCAAGGACTTTTCTGTTAAACCTTAGTTACAAACCCTTTTATTTTTTCTACCTTAGATGCCGCTCCATCAATACAAACTCTAATACAATATGACCACTGAACATAGTGTCCCTCCATGTAACTGTTCGCTACATTGAATATCTCTTCACCTGTAGTCCTCTCAGGTAACTCTTTGCAAAAGAAAAAGTGATCTTTTATATCATCTTTGTCTACAAATCTGATGATAGTAAAAAAAGTCAAGCAAATCTGCTTATATCAGTTGATTTATCTGTCTGAATAGAAAACCATTTGTCTGCTCTTAATCTCTCTTTTAGGGATGATTCAATATCACCTGACATATCATTGATATATCAACTAATAGTGTCATTTGAAAATGGAACTTTACTAATTTCTTCTGCAGCATCAGTTCGAAATATAATCTTAACAATTTCTTTGTATGTTGGAAGAATTAAGGATTTTGCAATAGCACGTGGTTTCTTTGCTTTTGAAACGAGCTGAGCTACCACATAACTTGCCTTCTGTGCATTGTCTTCTGTCTTCATACTCCTGGTCATAAGACTTGTTTACTTCAAGTTACCTTCTAGCAAAAGCTTTAATTAATCCAAGTCTTTCTCAACTAGAGATGGATGTTTAGTTTCTAGATGCTGTTTTAGCTTACTTGGCACCATGGCTTCATTTGAAAGCCTCACATGACACACAACACATTTAGACAATGGATGTGAATGGTCTCCAGCTGAAGAAAATCCATATTTAATACAATTTTCATAATATTGCCTGTTTCCCACTTTCACGTGCTTGTTTCCTTTTGTTTGTAATAAATCAATCTATTTTTTGGGTATTGAGAAAATGATAAAAAGATTCTCTCACAATACAATTTTGTACAAATAGCACAATGATCAACGAGACAACAAGAACGAGGCTGTCAAGATATTGCACAATAGTCCATGTACAGTAATTCAAACATACTGAACTTCTGGTTCCAGTACTAGTACTATGAGGCTTCTTTCCGACTAAAATTTCATGAAAATTGGTCTTTGTTTTGTTCTTCATACATCTAATTCAAATAATAACAACAATTAATATTATTATTGGGACTGCCAGAGATTTGAAATACTTTCTTTATTTTTGAACGCAAAACTCTAACGAGTCTAACCAATAAAATAAAGTAAGATAAAATTAGAAATACATGGCACAACTTGGTCAGCATCACACCACACTGGTTGAGAAACACTGAGCTTGAGGATGTTGTTAAATAGCTTCAAATCTGTGTTTGATTAGTGGCCATCTGAAGATTTAATCACAAGTATTTTATATCTTTACTTCCAATTTTTCAGCAGTTAAACTGATTATGTGAGACAATCATACAGGTACAACTAATAACACTATATAAAAGCACTTGCAGGGAAAAGATTAAGCATGGAAATTATTATGAATACATTTGTTAGTATTATTACAAAAATTAGACATTTTAATAGTAGTTACAGAAACAGGGCAGGAGTACTAACATTATCACAAGTTTCAAGCACTGATTAATAGTCATTTTACTTATTTTAAAACAAAACAAAAATATTTGGTTTTTAATTTACTACAATTTTTTAAATGACATTACTGACTGTTATTGTGAACACAATTCACTACAGCAACAGCTTCTTTCAAATATTCCTTTTAAATTTAGTGACCTACCAAGTTTTCACCACATTGCAGGCTGAAGATCTTCCTGTGCGCTGGTTATGGACTACAACAAAATCCACTTTATCCCCTGTCTGCAGAGTCATGCCATCCCTCACTTCACTCATGTGGAAGAAGAGTTTCTTTCCATCTACCTCATGTGCTAGAAACCCAAAACTTCCTCTAATAGCTTCCACGATCGACTGTTAGGAAAAAATTAATGTAAACATTTAACCAATATGGTAGTAGAAACAGATATAGAATATGGGCCTTGTTAAATTCTTAACCCTTTTGCAACAGGCTTGGTATAAAATACACGAATTTTTATACACATTTGCACGCATTAAGTATTTATACTATAACTTTTAATGTTGTATGTGTACCTTTACAAAATTTGGTAGACCTTTAGTAACGATTACAAGTCTTTTGTACACAAAAAAATCAGATATTTTAATGAAGTATTTTTATTTAAGATTTGTTTGTGAAGATATTGAGTCTGTTTCGTTACTAGTCCGAGTGCAAAGTGATTTTCATGTTATGATTAAAAAACTATTCTTCGTCCCAAAAATCTCAAATATTATTTGTGTAATCTCTTAAACCTCCTAAATACATTTCAAATGTTTGTTTTCAGTAAAACCTTATATTTTGTCTGTTATTTTCTTTATCCAAACTATACGGGGTCTGTCGATTTGACTGACCTCGTAACCACCATAAAAAATTAGGAAATAAATATAAATTATGTTGTTTTTTTTTGTTCTAGAAAGACTACAAATTATAACACGAAAACACAAACGTTTAGTCTAAAAAGTCTAAATCTCATAACATTATATATTTATACATCTTTAGTATTTTTTATTATATTGACCTTTCAGTTGTGCCTGGCTAACATTACAGAAGTTGCAATGATGCAACACATGTGCATTCATGTTATCATATCCAAGAATATAAAATTGGCCTTTACAAAGTGACCTGTCTTGGCTGTATTTTAGTGGACTAGTATTTTGTAAAATACAGTCACATTTCAATTATAATATATTATATATTTAGATACATTATTACTATTTACAAAAAAGATTTTAAAACTTATTTTTCTTAAAAGATAGAACAGTAAATAGAGAAATACAGCAAACAATTATCTCTTCTAGTTACAAACTTTGTACTTGTTTGCAGCTTGCCATAGATTGCTAAGCCTTATCAAATTTTGCAGGTGGAGGATGTGAAACTAAATAATTTTTTTCGGTTTTAAATATACATTTGAAATAATCAAAATTCATAAATTACTATATCAATACCATAGAATTCCACTATAATTTATCAAACTTATTAACTAAGCTATATTTGGGTTTATAAAAATATGAAATTTGGAGCTCACTAAAGACACCTTACCAGCATGAAGATTTGTATAAAAAAATGTAGTGACATAACACTTGAAAATGGCTGAGAAAACCACTAGGAGGGCATTCTGAACTTTCGATTGGTTACTCACAAGTCATATACAGAAGTAAGTGTATATAAGGGACCATTTCCAAAAATGGAAAGAGGTGAGCAGAGCCACAGTGTTTGATTTAGTACATGAGCAATATCTCAGCAAACAGAAAAGATAGGAGTTTCTTATTTTAGAGCCTAGCTTGTAATATTGGTAATTTGAGTTCCTAATTCATACAAAACTATATATTTTGTATTTTGACACCACAAACATCTAATTTGAACCAGTGCTGCATTCAACATACCACGACACACAAACATCAATGTTTAGGTGTATTTTTTTAATATTTACTTTTAAATTAAGAAATCAAATAATGTATAATACTAAAATTTGAATTATAATCTACAGTTTGATACCAAACTTACTGACATAAATTCATAAAATAGTAGTTCAATAAAATTTTGAATGCAAGTCAACAAACACGATGATATGGCCTTTGACCCGTGATGATAGGGTTAATACCACAAAGGGATTTTCTATGGCAAATGCCAAGTTTCCACAGTAATTAAGATACCTCTAAAGTTATTGCAAGAACTTTTTATTCATTCAGTACACTGTCTTTAAGTAAAAATAAAAAACCTGAAGGTCACATTTAACAACTCTTGCATCATTCTGCCGAGTGTGTGATTTTCAAAATTGTTCTACCTTCTGTTGTTTTGAAAGTTTTTCTCCATGATCTAATAATTTTGGTAATTTTTGGACTGAGTATCATGATTAGAATTTTCTAACACAGATGCTGGCCTAACTTAGAAATTTCAATTTTCACAATCTCTCTTAAAAATACAGGATATCTACAATATAGTTTTTTTTCCCTACATTGTTCATCTAACTCTCTCTCTCTCTGACATGTTTCTCAATACAAGTGATGTTGGAAGTGATTAGTGTGGAGAATTTCCTATATTATTTCTGTTTCTTCTCTCAGCTATAATCTGTTCATATTTCAACCATGTTCAGCTTTTCTAAGTGTTTTTTTAAAACCATATCAAGATACATGGTAGTGTGTTGTGCAGCCAAAACAAGCTGCAGGACACTGTGTGTTATTAACAGAAGTGATAGTTTAGCCATTTTCTGTAGCTCAGACTATGGTAATACAAACTACTGCATATTTTCAGTGGTTGTGCTCTACTGGAACCTTATTTCACATACCAAATTTCATGGCAATCCATTAAGAAGTACACAAGATATAAAATCTACAATTTTGATTGAATTCTTTCCATTTTATTTTTTGTTTCAAGTATGGAACCCTTATTTGATAGAAAAACATACTTAACTTTTATGGATTTTCTTCAAATTTGGTACACTGATAGATCTTTACAACCTACAATTAGGTGTCAAATTTTGTCTAACTATAAACCACATGTGCAACTTTTTGCACACACCTACACAAAAAGTCACTTGAGCTATTGGTCTGAAATTTTTACTACAGCTGCACCTAAGAGTAAAAGTGGACTGTATTTAGTTTTTTGCCATTTGGATTTAGAGCAGCAAAATTATAGGGTCAAAGCACGTGCAGATATACAAGTACTGGTTAAGCCAAGTAAACTAAATTAGAAGTTTCTACCTCAATTTTTCAAAAGAATCATACAGGTCAATGGTTATTATTCAATGCTAACTTTTAAGCACAAATTTGCTAAATCTTTATGAAATTCTCCTAATTAAAGAGCGCTTAGCATCACGTGATATTAGCTTAAGCAATTAGTGTAAATAATGATGCTTGATACACCTGTACAGAGTGATGACAAGAAAATATTGATCTAGTTTTCATGGCCTTACTATAAAGGAAGTTATAAACACTGTTTTAGAGAGGAAAACTACACCATAAATTTTAAAGAATTGGTAGGTTCTGTAAAGTAAAGGTCTTTCCAAATAATAGGGTTGCGATCCTAAAGCTAATGTTGGTTACTATCCAGTGTCACTTTCTTACCTGTTATAGATTGTTGGTGTGTGTTGACAAAGTCATGATATCTAATCAAAAACACCTTAGGTGTAAAAAAATGAATGAAATCAAAATTGGCAGCCAAACTGGTAGCTACACTTATAACATTGATAAGAATTCCACAGCAAATATTATTTCATTAATTAGCTAGGCCTCGTTTTTTGTTTTACCCACTATCATGCCCCAAATTACTCAATCCTTTTTTGGCCACACCCTTTTTTCACACCTAAGGTGTTTGACTAGATATAGTTTAGTTAGAAAGCCTTATAAATTACAGTAATTTTATGTGTAGCAGTAAAGTAATCTGATAATTTTTGTTTTCTAAAATACATCTATGAAATCTACAAAATTTAATTTGTCTTCCCTCTCCACTTGAGAGAACAAACAAGCTTAGCAAGTACAGTGCAGAAAAGCAAATCAATTTCATAACATCATAAATACTAGAAATTATTGTTTTTCTATGTATTTTTTTATTTATTGTCTTATGTTTTAAGAAAAATAATAAAAATTAAGCATTTATAAGTAAACAGTCATAATGTATATATATATATATACATACACACGCACACACACGTTCACAGGCACTTACATACTTTGTACACCGATACTGCTTAACCCCAACCACCTCGGGAAGATAACTAACATCCAAATACCCACTAAATTTACTGGATTAGCTCGGACTTTGTACAGAATGATATCATAAACATCTTATTGCACTTTTACTACTTCAGATGATTCTCCTTGTAACCACTGTACTGTAAAAAAACTGATAAACCTTCTCCTGCTGTGCCCTTGGAAACAGGATTACAAAATACTCTATGGGAATCTCAGCTTACTGCAGTCACACATGCTTATTTACTATTGATGGTGTCATATTACAGTGTCACGTAAACAGTCTAATGGCAGAAGCAGCGATTCATTGCTTTATGTTTGGCAGATGTCTACTTCAGCCACTAACTGTAAAATAAACATAGGAAATAGATGTGAAAATGTTAGAAGTAGGAATTCTCAAGAGAAGTACTTTGGAACTTCAAAGTCAATACTAAAAATGATAGAAAGATACTACTCAGTCAACACTGATTACACGTTAAGTACTTAAAAATTTGATTTCCTTTTTGTCTACAAAAGACTTATAACATTTACTAAAAACTTGAAACATTTCATGAAGATACACAAAATGTTAAAAGTTATAGTATGAAAAATATGATGGTCAGTTTGGGGTCATGTGGTCAGTGTAATCCACAATGGCAGTAGCAAAAGAGTTGACCTTTTCTTACAGACAACTTATGTTGACTAACTGAAACTAAATTGCTAATTGATTGAAAACTTCTTAGAACTACAATTTTTAAATGGCTTAAGTTATAACTGGAAAATTCAAAGTATTCCACAGCAATAAAGATAAAGCTGTTAATAAACACCTGTTTCCATAACACAAAAATTACCTGTCAAACTTTCACAGATTTTCTATAAAGTCTAATAATTACAAAGAATCCTAGTCAACACATTATTTTACCTCTTCATAACATTTGTTAGAAAAGATGGACAATATAAATCAGTAGTTTATTATCCATTCGAACAATGATTGTTAATTCTTTACTTTTTGTAAGTATTAGAAGATTATTTATTAAATCTGTTCAAAGGTAATTATGAATACATACATCATATCACTTATTGGTAGGTTTACTTAGAGACCTTAATGGTGCATAAAGCTAAACTCCACTGTACAAACAAGTTGAGCCATCAGTCTGACTGGATGTTGCTTGTATGTACATTAAGTTTTAATGTGGATAATACACTGGTAACAATTCAATGCCCTGTTTTCTAAAGACATTTTTTGAGTAGAAATATGAGTAATATGCAAAAATAGAGCAGAAATATATTGACAAAATATAATAAACTACAAATATGTAGATACACAGATACATATAATTGAACATACATAGATATACTTCATCCAAATCAGCGTTATTTTCAAAACATACCTGATGGCGTGTTCGAACAGCTTTTATATTCATTGCTTGCTCTTGCTCAGTAGCCTTTGCAATTCCGATCTGGAACTGTACCACATCTCCTTTCTGAAGCATGTCATGTTTGTCATAAAGGCTGGTTATTCCAAAAGGATACAAGGTGGGCTGTCCAACATTGATATCACCATCTGAGGTGAATACAGGTAACAAAAAAAATTAATTTACTGATAACATATGCTTCCATACTTTGACAATATGCAATAGAAGAAAAAGAGAGAAAAACAAGTGGAACTTTAATGAATTTATTAAGATAAAACCAACATTACTGCAGTGCACTACCATTCTACACGAAGATTGCAGCATTTCAATCAAAGGAAACAAATGAAAAATTCATGACTTTATTAAAGTACAACCTACATTATTAAAGACCTGCAGTGCACCCACTATTCTACTCTATGATTGCAGCTTCTTGTACACTGAGAGTATTGTTCAGAGCAATTAGGGAAAAATTACAATGCACTAAAATCATATTAAATTTCAAAGTTGACAACTTGTTTCGAGCACCTGGAGAGCTTATAGGTAGCAAATATTGGCTGAATTATATCAAAGAATAAAGCTATTAGAGTCCACATTGAAAATCAACATATTAAACATTCTTAACACAGTACAAAATATATTTGCATAACTATAACATATCACTGGTACAAACAATCTTTTTTATTTCATAATGCAAAAATTAATCTTGGATAGTAACCTAAATAAAATCCTTTTGGAATGCAAGAGCTCTCGATAGGCTCATAAATATTTCCTTGAAATATTAATTTTTCTTGTGTAAACAGAAAGAGAACATATTATTTACCGGTATTCAAAACATGCTCTATGAATGGGAAAATCATGAATAAAAATGTATGCTTCATTGCCTACAGAAAAGGCAATAACATGGGATTACTAACCTTCATCTGCATTATTCAAAGCAATCAGACCAGAATACTCTTCTTGTTCTGGGTTGAAACAACGTAAGGTACGATAAACAGTTCCATTTAAAATTTCTGGGTAAATCTCTTCAGCTGGAATTGATCCTGGAGCAAGCTTGCGAACACATTCAGCACTCTGTTTACCTCCTTTGTGCGTTACCCCATACCCAACCTCTTGTCCCAGTTCCAAATGAGAGGGATTACCATCAAAAACACTGAAATTTTAAATAATGCATTAAAAACAAACTAACGTACCAAAGCAAAAAAAGAATATCACTACACATTCACTGATCTCTGAGGATATAAATATATACAAATTTCTAGTCTAGAGCAATGAATACAAACACATTCACAGATATACCTCCACATGTAATATCATGCATATCTATTGTTTGAAATGTTTCACTACAAAATAAACAAAAATGTAACCACTTCATCATAACTCTTGCTTTACAAACTGTTTGGTGTTTAATTTTCAATACACGCTTTAGAGATAAAACACAATGAAAACATCAAACAATTTATTTTTATACCTGAAATGAAAAAAAACTTCACTTTTATGGTCCTCAGTTTCTATAAATCCAAAACTGTCTTTCAGTGCTGCTATAAATCCACGATGTGCATACCGAAAACCATTTTTTACTTGTCGACTGACAACTTTGACATCATTAGCAATTTTCTGGTTGTTGACTTTTGATGTGTTAATAGTAAATTCCACCTAAAAAATTAACTTTTCTTTAAATCAAGATTATAAATATCAATCTTTCTGTTCTTAATTGCTTGTTGCTTTAACATAAGTACATCAGTTATTGGCACAATAAAGTTTCTATTACTCCTTTTCTTTTTGCAACAGTTTCTAATTACATACTATTTATTAGATCAAGCAATTATAACAAGTATATATATATATATATGGATGTGTAAAATGAGATTGAACATATTTTCAGTTTATTAAATGTAATTTCAACTATTTCATATCTAACATAAAATGCACATAACAGAAACGTATAAAATAACTGGCTAACATATGAATAAAAAATCGTGATTCCAACAATTTTAACACTCTTAGTCTCACTTAACCAGCCATTTACTTAGAATAAAAAGAAATAAAAATGTTCTATACTAAATTTTTATTTTTTTAGATATTACATTACTTTCTTTATACAAGAAGGTTATATCCAAATAATTTAGTCAATGTTTATATCTACTAAATCACTACATGAGTACCCATGAATGTTATAATATATGCACCTTTCAAATAATTACCAAATATTCATCTCACAAAACTTTTTTTCTTCAAACTTGTCACAACATTTACAAAACATGTGAGCATGCTCTTAAGAGATGTATGGTTAAGAGTCTGCTTGGAAAATCAAATCTTAGTTGAATATTATTTTAAAATTGATGGACATTAACTTTTGGCAAATTTACTAACTCATCCAATTCATTAACTGTCAATTGTAAGGCAATATGGCAAAACACTAACCACAAAAAATGTCTAATAATGCTTTATTTAAAAAAAAGTATATTAAAAATATGAAGATCTTGAAAAAAATAATTTTTTTAATATTTTGGGTTATTTTGTAACATCCACCTCATTAATGATGTTAGAAAAACACATAGGTTAAAGAAGTCTTGATAGAAATGAATAAAAATCGTATAACCCGAGTACTTTCGAAAGGTGGACCTTTCTTCTTCAAGGGCAAACTGGGAATGGTGGTGTAATCGAATGAATGATATATATATATATATAAAGGGAGTTTAATGACATTATAAAGGTCACCTGGTTTTCCAGTATAGTGTAGACAATGGCGAGAATGTATGTGAAAAGGTGTTAGGGATATTTTACTTTAGAAATGGATAAATATATGTATATTTAAAACTTTACTTAAGTGTTTAAGTAAAATAAAGATGACACCTGAAGACTGATTCAAAATGATATGTTATGCTAATCAATTTATAAAAACAGGTATGGAAAATTATCTTAAATAAATAGTAAGTTTAGGAAATTCAGCATTCACATTACATGAAAATAATAAGCAAAGAATACAAATTATTTTTCTGAAAGAGATGAAACCAATGAACGGAGATCACTGATTCCAGGATCTAGATTAATTCCGAAAGGTTGAAAAATGTTTAGATTAACAATCCAATAAGCTTCTATTATTTCTCTATCTGCTTTAGTTTTGAATCCTGTTTCAATGCTGATGAGAGTAACATCGTTACTGGATTGACCGGGTTGGTTAAAGTGTTGAGCAACAGGGGAGATCTTTTTCAGTGTTAATAGATTTATGGTTGTTGAAACGTTCTCTAAGAGTTGTTTGTGTATGTCCTACATATTGGTAATTGCATTTTTTACACTGTACAAGGTAAATGGTGTTTTTGGTTTCACAAGTGATTTCTTTGGATATTTTAAAGTTTCTTTGATTGTGCTTGTTAGAAAATGAGTCAGTGGTTTTTATGAACTTGCAGGTTTGACAACGGGCTTTATTACATGGACGACAATATTTTTGTGTGGGATGTAATTCACTTTTATGTGAACAAAGATATCTTTTACAGTTCTGTTTTTTCGGAAGGAGACAATAGGAACTTCAGGAAATATCTGTTTAAGGCAATCATTCAGCTGTAGGAGATGAAAATGTTTTTTCAGAATTTGCGAAACATTTCTGAGTTTAAACTGATAGGTAATAATAAGAGGAATTCTATTTGAAAGTTTAGTATTGCTCTGATTTAGGATGCTTTTCTGCTGAGTGTTGTTAGCCTTTTCAATTTGTCTGTAGATTTCTGTATCTTTATATCCTCTTTGTAACATGGTTTGTTTTAGATCCTTGGTGTGTTTTTGATAGTCTGTTTCATCTGAGCATATTTTCTTTATTCTAAGAGCTGTAAGTAATGTTTCGTTTAGTGTGAGAGGGGTGACAGCTTTTATAGTGAAGGTATTGTGGTCTGTCTGTAGGTTTTTTTGTACAAGTCAGTGTGTAAAATTCCTTCTTTTAGAAAAAAACACTGAAAAAGATCTCCCTGTTGCTCAACACTTTAATCAACCCGGTCATTCCATTAATGATGTTACTCTCATCGGCATTGAAACAGGATTCAAAACTAAAGCATATAGAGAAATAAAAGAAGCTTATTGGATTGCTAATCTAAACACTGTTCAACATTTCGGAATTAATCTAGATCCTGGAGTCAGTGATCTCCGTTCATTGGTTTCATCTCTCTCAGAAAAATAATTTGTATTCTTTGCTTATTATTTTCATGTAATGTGAATGCTATATTTCCGAAACTTACTATTTAATTAAGATAATTTTCCATACCTGTTTTTATAAATTGATTAGCATAACATATCATTTTCAATCAGTCTTCAGGTGTCATCTTTATTTTACTTAAACACTTAAGTATAGTTTCAAATATACATATATTTATCCAATTCTAAAGTAAAATATCCCTAACACCTTTTCACATACACTCTTGCCATCGGCTACACTGTACCAGAAG